CAGGTGCTCGGTTACCCACTTTTCGAATGCCGCAAGGGTAAAGGCGGCGTATGTCGACGAGGGAGTGGAGAGGGAAGGCAGCTCGTCCGGTTCGAACTCCTCGGGGTGCGATCTCTGACTGAAAGGAACCTGGAGAGAGGTTTGCATGCGATCGGCGATGGACTCGATGAACGAGTCGACCCTGGGAAGCCGGTGATCGATATCATGAGCGAAGTCAAGGGACTCGAGGTGCGTGATGCAGCAGCCAGAGGTCGTGTCAGAGAAGAGTCGCTTTTGGCGGCTTGTGAGCTCCGCTGTGGCCTTGGCCACCGACTCGTCCACATATCGGACAATGTTTTCCTCCAGGTGCGCGCCAAGTCGAACAAGCTTCAACTTTCGCCGTGCGACCTTAACGATCATCATGGCCATGTGGTCGCTGGACAGATGTTCGGCCGGTGTGTTGGCAAGGATGGAGGCCACGAAGAAGAGCATGAAGGACTTGTATGTATCCTCCGCCGCGGGCAAGCAGCGCGAGAAGATTAGCTGCGTGGCGACTCTGGCGAGTAGCCATGTACGAGATCGACGCCATGGCTTCTCGCTGTTGTTCCACAGGATGGAGTCTCGGACGTTCTTCCAGATGCTTTGTCCCCCGCCAGGCTAGGATTCATGGCCAAGAACCCCTGAATAGAGCCACTCAGTAACCCACATAGGGTCAAGAGTGTCCCTCTCCTCGTCGTGGGCTTCGCCCGCCTTTTTCACTCGTGGGCGGGTGCCTGGCGCCAGCTGCTGGCACAGGGTCGACAAAGTATGGACAAGATTTTCGCGGAATCCATTGTCCAAGAACTTGCCGAGTGGGACAGCAACGGCGACATCGGGAAACTGGCGGCGGAGTCGGCCTGGGGACTCCATGACAACTTTGTTCTGGGGGGAGAGCTCAAACGCCTCCTTTATTAAGAGTGTCAGGCCAGTGTTCGGTATTTCAAGGGCAAAGTAAAGTGTCAAAAAGAACGTAGCTTGGGGCGAGGATGAGAAAGGGCGGGAATAGTGGATATTTGAGTGAATAGTAAGATCCAAGGAGACTTACAATGTACACTGAACGATCTTTCCTGCTGATCATTACTCCGGAATTCTGGCTGGATATGTCCAGCGCGACAGCTCCATCTGCGTAATCGGTGATGAAACATGTCAGCATTGGAAATTCGGTAGGTTTTGTGGGATTAGAGAGAAACAGAAGCTGAGAAAACCCCTACCGCACTGGCACATGTCTTGGAAAATGGCCGAGAGCTTCTTGGCGTCGATGTTTTTATTGGGATCGATGGCCTCACACATCCGCACAGCCAGGTCGAAAGCGGAAGCGACAGCAGCGCGCTGGCTGGGGCCGACAAATAAAAGAAGTTGCTGAGGCATGTGCGCAGAGTTGATAGCAGATGCGACTCCAGACCGGCGTCCCAGTCGTTCCCGCCAGGCAGCTGGGGAGGGAAGAACACATGGTTCACCACGTAGATGGACTGTACCTTCTCTTGCGAGCACTGGTCATCCTTCCGCCTAGTTGACATCTCGCGTGCAAGGGCCTACGGCCAGATGGGGACTTAGCAGGACTCTCGCTGTAGCGAGGTGCCGCGGGGAGGTAGTCGACGGCGAGCAACGATGGTGCAAATAGAAGAGAACTGGTACGAGATCGCAGAAGTTAAGTACTGCTCTGAATGGGGTCGGTGATACGATGGAGGAGAAAGTAGTGCGCAAAGTGGTGGTATGTGCGTTGGGAGGGAATCGATAGAAGGTAGGGACGGAGGTAGAGGCTAACAAGAAAATTTTGTGGTCGAGCAAACGAGCAAACGAGCAGTCAGCCATAAGCATGGCAGTCAGGCTTTGGGAGGGGAAGTTGAAGTGCCCGAGCACCCGCGGCCGATGACATGCCGGAGGCCCACCAGAGGTTTCACCAAAGGCACAGCGCAGGCCCAATAGCAAATATCACATGCATTATTATTTCTTTATCGCAATGATCCATCCATCCTACTTCCATAGCAGGCTAGGAGGAGTTCGCAGGAGGTCCTTTGAGTGCTCACGTAAGGAGATGGCTGGTTGGGCACCTATCAAGATGGATAGGGGTGACAAAGGCGACATAAGAGGGGGTTAACCAAAACTATATAACGAAAAGCAGGAATAAAGATAGGGACGGTGTTGTAGGAGTTAAAAACTCTTGTAGGCACGGATATCTCCAAAGGTGATGTTTTTTTTTCACGTGCTTTCCACATCTCGTCTTCCATAGTGCCGGTGAAAGGTGTACCGCGGGGGACTGCTCCAGTTCGCTATATTCCCTCGTTTCGAGGGCGTACCCCATCGATGGCGGGCAAACCGTCGAGTGCTCTCGGGGGTCCTTCTTCGCCTTCGAGAGCCTGGCGGAGAGCCTCTTGGCGTTTGCGGGGCGGGCTAGGTAGTATTTCCGATGGGCTCTAGCCTGGGGCGGGACCGCGGCCGGGATGCGGCGGCAGTAGGCGTGCCTCGCCTGGTCGCGCACGCAGCAGAAATGCTGCTCGTTGTCCGCTGCCGATTGGACCGGTGGCAAAGTCAAAGGCTGTCCGAGGATGTCCCGACGGGGATTTGGGGATGGGTGGTTGCTTACGGGGTATACATGGTACCGGCACGAGTGCCACAAACGGCTGTTGTTGTCGTCGTCGAAAAAGGTCTCATTGGAAAGGGTCTCGTTGGTCCAGGCTTTGTCGGAACCTTCGTCGTTGTCGGCCTCCCCGTCGTTGTCGGTGTCCTTGTCCCCGTTACCGCCGCCGCCGCCTGGTCCATCGGCCTTTTTTTTAATTTCGGGTAGTATGCGTTGATGGCGGCCCACCCTTTCTAGGAGATCAAAGCAACCCCATCACTCGCTCCTTTCTACTAAA